AGAAATCCGCCTGCCTCTGCCTCCCAAGTGCTGGGATTAAAGGCATGCGCCACCACTGCTAGGCTGCTTTTCTGTTTCTAGTGGTAAAAGAAACCCACACCCAACAGTGGGGTGCTGTTTCCCCCATCTTCCCTTACCTCCATTCTTCCTCTTCTTTCCTTTCCTCCATTCTTCACTCCATTCTCTCCCTCCTTTCCTCCTTCCCCTCCCCCATCTCTGGCTGCCCCACCATGCTCCCCCACACCTTGCCCCACCCACTCTCTCCCACCCCCACCCCTATTGCCCCCTGTTTTTCCTTTGCCCCACCTCCACCCCTCACCAGCCATTCTCTCTCTTCTTTTTAAGGCAGGGTCTCATACATCACACAGTGGCCTTGAAGCTACTATGTAGTCAAGTGTGTTTACTATGTAGTCAAGAGTGTTTAGAATGCTTGATTCCCCGGCCTCTCCCCCTCCCCCCATGGAAGGATTATAGTTGTCTTCCATCATCCCTGGTCCTTCTTGTTAAAACAACACATAGCTGGAGAGATGTCCCTGTGGTTAAGAGCACTGGCTGCTCTTCTGGAGGACCAAGGTTTAATCCCACCACAAACATCTATATATAGTCCCAGGGGCATCTGATGCCCTCTTCTGGCCTCTTTCAGCACCACATGCACACAGCACAGAGTCATTCATGCCAGCAGGACACCCAGACATATTTTAAAAAACAATATAATCACAGAAAAATAATCAGGGCTGGGCTGGGGATATAGCTCAGCTGGCTGAGAAGCCCTAGGTTCGATCCCCAGCATCACATAAACTGGGGTAGGTGACACCACCTCCAAAATGCCAGAGGCAGGAGAATCAGGTTATCCTCAGATACAGATTGAGCCTGGGATACACAAACCTTATCTAAAAAACAAACAAACAAACAAACAAATGTCCCAAAATACAGAACATAAAAATAGGAAAGAAGGAAAACCAAGACCATTTCTGCAAGCTATGAACTATCAGGCAGTTACACAGTAGACATGAGATGTATCCCCAGTAGTATACACTGAACTAACATTGGTGACAAAAGTGCCCAGTCGGATGCAGAACCTGCACACACAGCCATGAGGACAGGAGTTTTATCTGCTGTTGTTTTTATCAAGATAGGGTTTCTCTGTGTAGCCCAGGCTTTCCTGGGTCTCATTCTGTAGACCAGGCTGGTTTAGCACTCACAGAGATCCATCTGCCTCTGACTCCCAAGTGCTGGGATTAAAAGTGTGTGCTGCTAGGCTTGAAGTTTTTATTTTTATTTTTAAAATTTCAGCCTCCATAGGGCTAAGACCACAGCATGTACCGCTGTGCCTGATTGCTCTAGGTAACCTTTCTTTTTATGTGAGCCTCTCTGTTGACTGTTGGGAGAGGCAACCCGGGGGCCCAAGCAGCCCTGAGTATGCTTGCTGGGTATGTCTAAGATGCAAGGCCCCAATCTCTGTCCTCTAAGCCGTTTCTAGCATGGGTTACAGTGAGCAAGGTGTACTTTCCTAAAGGGACACAGAGTAGCTTGCTTATTTGTGCCCCAACCCTGGTATTCCTGGGTGGACCTACTATGCACAGGATGGAAATCTGGGCCATTTTTTGTCTCTCAGGACTCTTAAGTAGAGAATATCCATGCAAATGAATGCTTGTACTGCCTGCTGTCCTGTGAGCAGAGCCTGTTCCTGACCTGGAGTCTCCTGCTAATTCTCATTGTATTCATTCTACACTGTACTGAATGACTATAGCACACTTCCAGACTCTACCACAGACTTGTTTTAGTCCTTTTGTTATTGTTATCTAATTCGGGCTTATTGAGAGATTTTAAGATATAGATACTTTAAAATTCTTTCCTGTTTTGGAGATTTACAAATGTAGATCTGTAAGATCTAGGGTTAAGAGAGAGAAAGATGTTCAGAAATAAAGACACACCTGAGAGTGTGGGTGTGGGCCCCTCAAAGGAGAGTCGCCCTGGTTTTCTTTTTTTTTTTTTAATCATTCACAGAACTGTTTTTACGAATAAAAGCCAGTTATGAATTTTTAAAAGGAAAGGCTCTGAAACAGACACATACCATAAGAATCCATTTTCTAACAGGTGACAAGTCGTTTAAAGAAAGAGTGCGAAGATCTTATTCAAGGCGGGATGGGCTCAGTGTAGATGACTTATGTAACACCAAAGCCCCGGGATCAAGCTGCAAAAAATGATCCCAGACCCTAGTTCTCACTTAGTTGAAGACTTTTGGTTACTTTCTTTCTTAAAGATCTATCTATCTATCTGTCTATCTATCTATCTATTTATTTAATGAGTACACTGTAGCTGTCTTCAGACACACCAGAAGAGGGCATTGGATCCCATTACAGATGGTTGTGAGTCACCATGTGGTAGCTGGGAATTTTACTCAGAACCTCTGGAATGCGCAGCCAGTACTCCTAACCACTGAGACATCTCTCCAGCCCATGGTTAATTTTTATTTTTATTTTTAATTTATTATTATTATTTTTTGAGACAGGGTTTCTCTGTATAGCCCTGGCTGTCCTGGAACTCACTCTGTAGACCAGGCCGGCCTCGAACTCAGAAATCCGCCTGCCTCTGCCTCCCAAGTGCTGGGATTAAAGGCATGCACCATCACTGCCCAGTATGGTTAATTTTTTAAATAGAGGTCTTTCTAGAAGTTTTCTTTTTTTTTAAATAAATATTTTTTATTTATTTTCTTTTGGAACAGGGTTTTTCTGTAGTCCTGACTGTTCTGAAACTCACTCTATAGACCAGGCTGGCCTTGAACTCACGCTGATCCTCGTGCCTCTGCCTCCTGAGTCCTGGGATTAAAAGTGTGTTCCACCATGAATGGCCGTTAAGTAAATCTTAATTTATTTTCATATTTGTATATGAGTGCCTATCTGTACCTATGTGCACTGGTGCCTTTGGAGGACCTGGATTACAGGTGGTCGTGAGCCACCAAGCTGTAACTGAACTGGTCTCCTTCTAGGGCTCCAAATCTCTCAGCCATCTCTCCAGCCCTCCTAGTTCCATAAGACCACAGCATATGCAGTGTTATATGTTTATATGTTATATGTTTAATAGCTTAAACTGGAGACCACAAGAGTCACCTCAATTCCTTGTGGCTCTGGCAGGGTTTAGCAGCCTGAAAAATCTTCCAGGACCCTGAGCAGAGGCTTCCTCTGTCCCTGCTACTTCCTGGGAGCTCTTCGGCAGGAAGTGTACCCACTGTCTCAGGTTCTGGCCAAGCAGCTTGAGGGACAACGGATGGAAAGGCAACTGCTCTCTCCCCTCCATATCTTCCATTCCACCCCCTGGTCCCCATCACCCTTCTCTGACCCTTAGACATTCTAGACTCCAGTGAAAACCTAAGATTCCCATTCTGGACCCCAGCACCCCTTCATGCCTCCATTGAACCCTTTTGGGTCCCCCCAAGCAACTGTGGGAGTAGGAATGGGTGGGGCAGGATGCAGGGGTGGGGTGGGTGGAGCCAAGACCCACTTCCTTTCCCCCTGGGGCTGTTCTGCCCCAGTCCTGACCAAGCCTCAGAAAGAACTGGAGGTACTCACCCTGGCTCTGTGCCTTAACCATTAAGCTGGTAAGATGATACGATCTAGGTGGGTGTGGGGGAGGAGTTGCTTAGAGGATGAAGAAATGTACCTATAGTTTGGAAACACAAATAGGGTGATGGGAAAAGGGGGTCAAGAGCCACCGGCTGGAACAATGGGTGAAGGCCAGGAGGACATGGCTGCTCTGGAGTCTGAGCTGCCAAGGCCAGGGTGGGGACCACCGGCGCCATCTGTTCCCTTGTTGTCTCTGATAATAGTGAAAGCAAGAAAGGAAAAAAAAAAAAACGTTAAACCACAAGTTGGGCTTGGCAGTTGGCAGGGAAGTGGGCAGAAGGAGGGAGGCAGCCAGGTTTCCCTCCCCAACCCCTGTGTGTTCTTCTGTAACTTCCCTACATTCAGGTCCCAGCTCCTGCTCCCGCCTGTCACCTGTCGTCTGTCGCTCTGGAGATGGCTTTGCTTCTCCTCCTCATTGGAGGCTTCTGGGCCCAGGTGGTGAGCTCAGTAAGTCTGCAGAACACAACGATGTTGGCATCTACCCCACATATCAAGACCCCAAGTACCTCTGAAGCCTTGAGTGTCGTCAACTCATCAACCTCTATGGGGCCAGTGACAGTGGGCACTAATGAGACCATCACTATGGGG